GCAAACTTGCTGAGGGTACACTCTAACTCTTCATCCAGGTCGTTGATGAAGAAGTTAAACAAGACTGGGCCCCATACTGACCCCTGGGGGACACCACTAGTTACCGGCCTCCAACTAGACTCAGCGCCGCTGACGACAACCCTCTGAGTTCTGCCATTCAGCCAGATTTTCTACAAGGTTGCAAAGCTTCTACAGCTTTAACAATCGAGGCACCGCAATGCCACAGCCAGACCAACCCTTGTCAACACAGACCTTGTGAAATTCGAGAGGGGTAGGGGACATGATTTCCTGCATCTCCTTCTCGATCTTCTTCATGTCCAGGTTCCTCTCGTTCTTCTTGGCAGGGGAGCTGCTGCCCTCTGTCTGTCCGTCATCACAGCTGGAGTTTGCTTTCCTCAATGGGCTCAGTCCTGATGGGTTGACAGAGTCCAGGAGCAGCTTGCTGCCCTCCAGGCCCAGGTTGTGCACGCTCCCTGTCATGATGGATGCCTGCAGTGCAAGGGCACAAAGTCACTCTACTGAGCCAGCAGCACAAAGAGATGGACGATGTGGCAACAGAAGTGGAACAGACAAAAACAAGGGGGCACCATTGTTCTCGTTAACCAGAAAAGTAAGTACCAAGAAGCTCTTCCAGTTAGCTATAAAAGCCATTTCCAGCCCTCAGGTCTATCACTGACCTGCTGTGAGCCCTCCACCCCCACCCCAACATGGAGCTTTATCTCAGTAGCAAGCGTTTGTGGCACATCTGCTTCTTTTTTGATGACCCCTTCTACACAAACAGGGCCAGGCAGGTCTCATCTTGTGCAGGAACCTGCTCGGCAGTCACGAAGGATGAATATCCCGATCTCAGAGGGCTCACAGAGGAACCAGTGCCTGCCTGGCTCTCCAGCCTACCCCTGCAAGCTGCAGCTCACCATCAGCATTACACAGTGCTGGCAATGGCCCAGGGAAGTCAATACATTGGACTCCACTGAGGCCAATTCATCAGAGAAATTAGGATTTTATCTGTCAGTAAATGGGAGCCGTCACTGAGCAAAACTGAGTTAGAAATATGAAATTAAGTAGTATTTAAGCCTGGTCATCCTTAATAGCATCCATTAAAAGATGCCCCTAAGTAGATTCTACTCCATTTGGCAATGCTTTTCACTAATGAGATTACATTGATCAAAGCTAACGAAGGAGTCAAGAATCCAGTCTGTGGAACCTCAAATGGCTCCAGGTCACAGAGTCCATTTAAATGGCATAATGAAAACTGTCCTTTCAAAGATCAGGCTCCAAGGGTCTGCAGTCCCATTAAACATCAAAAGGTGGAAGAAAGAAAAAGTAGGGAGCAGACAGCAAAATTCAGCAATGCTTAAGGGTGCAAGTTAAAGAGCAATTGCTCCTGTGCACAAGGGAAATATCATCTGACTAAATCTCTAATCAAGGCCCTCTAGCTCTTTGCTCCAAGCTGGAACAAAGACAAATAAAGCGAATTCTGGTGGCAGTATGAAAATGCCAACACTACCCATATTATCCCAAATAGGGATGGATAAAATACAGAAAACCTTTTAGCTTTGCACTTTTCAGGTCTTCACACAAAAATTACTTCATCAGCTCAAGTTTGGACAAAACTCAAATACCTGCTACACGTTGAAAGGACGTTGAGTTACCACACACTTGTAACACAGATTAACAAACAGCGGTACAGCCAACCAGGGTACCTTTGTTTAGTGACTGCAGACAGCCTCGATAACCCCAGGACGCTGTGCCATGCCATACCAACACCAGCATTGCAGAGCCAGGGAGAACAGAAAGGTCGGTGTACGTCGTGCTACTGTCCTCCCTCACGCGCCGCAAATACTGAAACCAGCCAGTACCCAACAGCGTGCCATTCCTACAGCACTCGACGACTTCTCTATCTTCAAGGTATTTAAATACTCCTTGCAGCACCATAAGCAATTTTTTAGGTGCTTTGGGTTAAGTGCAAGCAGCAGAAAGGGCAATTCTGGACTTCTCCAGCCTATGGCTGTCCCATATTACTTTTCCCCATGTCTTGGCTGCCCTCCAAACAAACTGGGGACACGCACTCCCCTGGACACACTGGAAAAAGCCTGTTTCTACCCATGTGCTGTAGTGTGGGAGTGGATTGTTACTGTGTGTGAAATCTGTGATACAGCAAAAGCCCCAATGAGCTTCACACCTCCCACACCACACTTTGGAGAAGATGGAGATAGAGAGGGAGGAACGGATCAGTAGTACTTCAGATTTGATAAAACGGGAGTTGAAACCCATCAGACTTTTGCTAAAATCACACCACTTTCCTTGTGTCCCCACAACTTTCCAAAATATTTTAGACATGTGCTAAATCCACCAAAATGCTCATTTTTTAAAGCATGGCTATAACCATTAAAGCTTCAAAACCTTAAGCCTTAAGCCAGCATGAATCAAAAGCCCATGCATCCCTGCACCACAGATCCCTGGAAAAGGACTGAGCAGAAGGATATTTTCTCTGTCTAGCATTTCACAGTAGTCCAACAAATCCCTTCTTTTACATTTAGATGTCAGCCATTACGCAGAAGAAAAACATCTCTGCATCATTTCAGAGGGGCACTTTTTCTTCAGGAGTCAACAACAGTTCAGAAAGGTTGACAGTGGCTGCCTAAACTCATTTCTAAATACATCCAGGTCCAGGAAACAAGTGATCAGGGGAAGAAGTTATAGTCTGGGGGGGGGGCCTGGGGGAAGTTGGAGTTTTTGTGTGTTGGGTTTTTTTTTAAGTCAGCATTTTCCTACACAGTTAAAATAATAAATACACCTTTTCGTGTTTCAGCATAATAAATTTAATCAAGACTTCCTCCCCCACTTACAGTTGCTAAGGATCAAGGAGGAAAGAACAATTACTAAGTCCCTTGTCAGCAATATTTTCACGTATAGACCAAAACAGGACTTTCCTTTTCCACCTCCAGTTATTCAGAAATTGCCTTTTCTCTCTGAAGCCTAAGCAATATGCAGTTGTGCATAAAAACTGTCCCACTGGGGATGATGGAGGGCACAACTCACTGAGCCCCCCCAGTCCTCTGCACCCAGAACGCAGGGGAAGAGAGGAGCTCACGGGGTCCCACTCCTCCTTCCAGGCTGCCGGAGCTGAATCAGGGAGGGGAGCAGCACGGGTCCCATCCTGCCAGGCAGGTTTGCTTCCCGCTGCTTGACAATCTCAGGGGAGGCCTTTATTTGCATCCCACAGCACAGAAATCCAGGCTCCCTATCCTACAACCGGACACAATAACACGACCTCCAAAGCTTTTTGGATAAAGAAAAGAGAAAGTGGTTTGTGAAGGGAGGAAACACCTTTATTTCTGCAGGAAACAATTACTTTCTCAGATTTCTCCATGGGGAAGGCTGTCTGAAAAGCTTCCAATTACCTATTTCACTGAAACAGTTTCTGTCAGAGTGACAGCTGAATGCAAGATATATGTTGGGCCAGTCTAGATTTGAAGTAAGCCAAGGCTTCAGTCCCAGTGGGGCTTTGGGGGGCTCCTTCTGCTTGGCCTGTAAGTGCCTTGGACAGACAATATCTTTCCAAGCAGAGGGTTTACCATTTGATAGGGAAGTTTTGCCAAAAGTCATGCAGAGATTGTTGGCCAGCAACAGTTTGCAAAAAGAGCGTGGAGTTCCTGGTGGGTAACTCAATAGCTCAGGGAAAAAGTGCACGCAAGAAACTGTCTAATGAGACGTAGTTATCCATGAGCACAAACACTGACATAAATTAAACTCCAACCCTTCTTCACACCACTAGCACAGAGGGATGCTACAGACAATGAAGAGAGCTGGGGAAACAGTCCAACATGTACAGCAAGAGCGAAACAGTCAGATCAGCAGCAAATTCGGAAAATTATTTACCTCAATCTCCCTCAAAAGCTCAGACTGGCCGCATGTTTCCAAATCCTCCAAAGCTTCTCCAAAAACACGCCAAAAACTATCCTCGTGAGTGGTCTCAAGGCCATTTTGGCGGTTGGGATATCTGTTGTAACGTAGGAACCAAACATTGTCAGCACTCTTCTGCAGCAGGATGAAAGCCGCGAGGCTACAGCAAGTGTCTCACCAGTAAAAGCAGAGACTTGAAGAGTCTTCATATACAAAAGCAAACAATACGAACTTTCAGACAAGAGTCCGAATACGAAACCTCCATGCATTTACTAACGGGGCAAGTGTCCTTCAAAGGAAGAATTAAGTTGGTGTAGTAATGTCAAAGTTCAAAGGGTAAATTAAAAAGTGCCTGTAGGAAGATTGTAGGTTTAGGAAGACGTTTTGGTGAAATAGAGAAGTGAAAGAAAAAAGGATGCGTTATGGGTAAACCAGGAGCCTCAGAGACTGTTAGTACAAAGGCTGATGGGATAGAGCTCAGATCTGAGACACAGAACACCTGAGAAGAGAGAGAAAAACACAGAGGGTAACAGACATGGTGAGAAAATGATAAATACATTATGTCTCTATGAGAGTAAATAATGCAAAGATGTATATAAAAATGGTTGCCCTGGGCTGGACAAGTAAACACACACTACAGCCAGCAGTATCGACAGAGTCGTGTACAACCCATACAAACCAAGCTTCAGTTGCTTTGGGATGGCCAGGGAACCCAGCAGTTACTTTCAGAAGGTCTCTTTTTTTTTTGCTATAGAACAGTCACGGCGCTTACAGCCATGTAAAGATTGCCACCAGTTCTATCTACAACAGAGAATAAGGATAGAGCGAATCTCTCTCAAGCTGGTACAAACACATGTTAATGTGAACACCATGTGTGTCTTGCTGGGGGTCCTGCAAATTCCCACCTTGGCAGTTGCAACATCTCTTATCTCTGACCACAAGTCAGGTTCAATTCTTAGGCTTCTATAAGCAAATAGCAGTTAAAGACACTGAAGTCCTCTAACAAGCCAGAGAAGTAGGTGACACCAGATACTGCTTACTGACATGAGACTCTGTGCAAAACTCAGACCATCAGCACTCAGTTTCACAGGAGCCTCTTGAAGAAAACTCTCAGCAGTGTTAAATCAAGGTCACAATAAACCCACTAATGTGTCACAGGGAGAGACCCCAGGGGGACAGTGACATTAGAGCAGCCCTAATGCATCTTCCACACATCTTATTAGGAGCTGCATGGACAAGGCTCCACCTCTGCAACATCTGGCAGCATCTCTCATGGCTTAATGGTCATCCGCGCCGCAGACAGGAAGGGATGCTTGTCTACCAGAGACACTTAGCAAAGTCAAAACATTTAACTTGGGTGCAAGTCGAAGAGAAGTTAGCCTCCATTAAGTAAATAATGATCCCTTGGGCTATTAATAGAGATTCTTTCAGATCTTTGTTAACTGCAAAGTCTTTAGTACATGCTTTGTTTTCCCTCCACTGGTTTAAATGGGAGTCTGTATCAGGCATAAACTTAAACACACACAATTTTGCTCCTTGTGGGATCATGGCCTGCCTGGAAAGAGCAGTATCTGACGTGTCTTACTGTATTTTAAATTCACCCCCTATGTTTCACTAGCTTTTAAAGGACAGTAGCCTTTACACCAGGCAGAAAGGTCAAAAAAACACTCAGCAAGACTTTATAAAAACAAATTAAAATTTCCCTCCAAAAGGAATTTTCGATTCTTTCGCCTTACTCATTTCCTTCCTCTGCTCCCAGGTTCCCAAAGAGGCAAATGTCCCTTCCAGTTACCAGGTTCTTGCCTCTTAGCTCAGTAATATAACACACGTCCAGGACGTGGATGAATCAATACGGGCTCTCACACCACTGGGTCAGCAGGTTTTTCCAGGCTAAAGGCAGACAGCGTTAGAGACATTTTGTTTTTCTCCCTAATAAAAAGGGCTCAGTGGCATGAACTGTTTCACCTGCACTTTGACATCAGGGCTCGAAGCCCTCATTAGGGACACGCAGGGCTTCAAGCGCTCAGATTTGCTAACTTCAGCTGTCAGCGGCCTCGCTGGGAGGGCCACGAGGGATCAACGACCTCTGTGAGCTGGCTCTCGCTGAGAGGCAAAACAAGAACAAAGTCTCTGCCGCTGCCAGCCTTCCTGCCAGTTTGATCATCTTTAAATAGGTGGAAATGGCCATGAGATGTTCTAAGGGTTTTGTTTGGACAAACAAAAGTTAAGGAAAAAATAAGAAAAAAAAGAACCGACAGTAACAACACGACACAGACAACTATGGGGACTCTGGAGGATGTCCAGGGGAGGGTTAGTTGCGAAGCAGCAAGGCTTTTCCACCGCACGTGACTCAGCAAGGGCAGCCTCTGGCCAGGGCAGATCCAGCAGGATTTTCACCCAAAGTGAGGGGCAGCTGCAGCCTCCTCCACAGGCTTGTGAGGTGTTGCAGGATTTCTCCCACACTGGCTGAGCCAGGGGATTAACTCTATCATGCTCACTCAGCGCGGCTTTGTTTGTGGTGTTGGCAGGGCCAAAGCGTCATGGAGAGAGATGTCCAGCCACAGCTTTGGTAGATTTTAACTTGGACATGCAACCTCATACTGGTTCTCCATGCGCTTTGGTTGGCTTTTTTGGCTTTATGGCATTGAGCTGTTGCAAAGCTGCATCCTCACTTGAAGAAGTCTGGCCAACACATGTGGGGACAGCCCTGACCATATCTATTTATCACACCTAAACTATGAAAATACTGCAGCCTTTACAGGGCAGGAGTATGAGACATGGTAAGAACCTGTGGTCCATGCAGCTGAGACCGCCCTAACTCCAGACACAAATGTCACCTGGCCATGGCAGAGATGCCACAGAGCTACACCCAGCGTAACCTGGCAATGTGGAGGTGGTTCAACAGAGTAGATCACCACCCCAGCATCCCTCTCCCATGGCTGCCTGGTGCCGAGATGGGGACATCGCTGGCCACTACATCACATTCCCATGCCCCCTTGTCCCTATACAGTGACACCCACATTTGCAGATGGACATCCCTACCTCCTCCCACCCCTCCGTACCTGCTGGGCTTGTCCCAGTCGTCTTCACTGAAGCTTCCATCCATGTAGGGGTAGTTTTTCCTGGGGTCCCCCGGCGGGGTGCTGCTCTTTTGCCTGCTGTGTCTCCATTCATGTGGATGGAGGGCTATGCCCGCAGCCTGAGGTATGTACGTTCCTAGGGAAGGAAAGGGGCGGCGGGGAGTGGTGGAAGAGACGATAATACCTAGTCAGCAAAACCTTGAGCCAGGAGAGCCTCCTTCCCCAAGTCCCAAACCTGAAGCCATCCGGATTGCGTACTGCTTCAATTTCAGGGTTGTTCTTCCCATCTCATCTTGCTTTAACCAAGGCAGCTTCTCAGGATCTTGCCAAAAGGTGCTCCACTTCTCCTTTGCTCCTCCACTTCAGGGATCCACAGACCTGGGACTACACATACCCACAGATGCAGGTCCTACCCTCAGCCAGCTCAAACCTTAGTTAGCTGCTCCTGTTTCCACACTGAACCCAACAGAAATTGTGCTGTTGAAGCTACCATCTTTAAATACAGTGAGTCCTTCACAGGGTAAAGAGAAGATGCTGCCAAGCCTCCCTCAGCGTGCCCAACCCCATTCATTTTGAAGGATTTGGAAGCCTGATTTCGATTAGGGAAAAAAAAATCATTTAGATTCTCAACTGTGTTTAGGACTTAATGGACAGCATGAAAAAAGGCAAAAGGATATAGAAGGACAGCAGCAAAGAAACTGCATCCAGAGCAGCCTGATGCAACAGCCTCCCTTCAACACGGGTGACGGTGCTGAGGGTACCTGGTGGTGGTCACCAGCCCCAGTGTGCTCAGCAGTGGGAAATGAGGAAGAGTCAGCCCCGATCTCGAGAGCTGCCAGCCAGTTGCCGCAGCCAGCAGAGCTCTCCCATGCCTTCAGAATCAGCTGGTGCAGGTAAAGAAAACTGTTTCAGGGACATGTGCATGAAAGGAAAGGAACAGGAGGAAAAGCTCTGCTCACTTGAGAGAAGGGAAGGCTCATCTGTATCACATTTGACAGGAGGTCAATACGGACAGTTAAGATTAAATCAGACAATTTTTGCTATATCTGCCCTCAAGGACTCCCCTGTAACTGTGGTGTCTTACTCTGGACATGCAAACCCAACACTGCCCAGTCACAAGATCCTCAGGTCTCAGGAGGAGCAGCTTGGACAGAAACTCTCCAAAACAGAGCATTCCTCAGCAGTGTCAGTGCCATCTGCAGTGGAAATAAATCTCCCCAGTCCCCTGCCCACCTCCTGCTGCCCATTCAATGTTTCAGAGAAATCCTCACTGCCTTTCCAAGAAACATCGTACGCTTCCATCACTCGCTGTGCCAAGCAGACAGGAAGAGGTAACGAAGAAACACATAATTAAAGGAGACTTGACCTCCCAAACAGCTAAGAGCACTGGAAATACACAAAGACAATGCCAGCACTTTCTTTGAAAATGCCAAGGCCTGTTATTTCACTCAGCTAAGCGTTTCCTCTGTGTGTTTATAAAGGTTAGACTGCTCTGGAGAGAGCCCCAGAAAAGTGCTTGCCAACATCTTACAGCAGTCAGGAGTGTTCGCTGCCTGCCAGAGCAGAACAAGGTCCCTGGGTGCAGGTCCCTGGAGTGGGTGGGCAGCCAGTTTGGGCTGAGGACCACAGGGGTATGTGTGCAGAGCTATCGCCTAGGTGCCACCGATTTCACCTCGTCCTTGCAGGGAGACAGGCTGGATCCCTGGGATTCAGAGCCACCTGGTGGCATGTTCCGACCAGGTCCAGCACAGGTCCCTCGCCCAAACCCTTCCTTGAGCAGTTTCCTAAAGCTGTGGATGAACCTAAAACCTACAAGGCTGCAGAGCCCGATCCATGGTTCTCCATTTGGGGTGTAAATCCCAATCTCAAGGCTCTATGCATCCCAGGTCTCCCTGCATCCCGCCTTCCCTGCCCATCCCATGGGCGACCCTGCGTGTCCTTCTCCCTACCCTCCAGCATCCCTCTTCCCAGCCAGCACCAGCACACCACCATGCAGTCAAATGCAATTACCAGGGAAGACGAGGGAGCCCCAGAAGCAAAGCTGCAGTCTGTGGATGTTGGGCAACTTGGCATCAACCCTGCTCCCTAGGGCTCTGCGCTCTAATTACTCGTTCTCAATTTACCGGTAAAAGCAATCGCTTTGCTAAATCCAGCGTCCAACCTGTGTTAACACTCAATTAGATGGAGAAGGATTGCAGCATTATGAAGGCCAGGGGATTCCTCCTTGACAAAGCCTCCAGTCCCAATTGCACTCCCAAATTAAGACTTCAGACCAAGGGAGGCTGAAGGAAGATGCGGGCGTGATGGAAGAGACACCCACACTGTGCTGTCCTTTGAACTTTTCTAAGTCAGAGCACTGTAAGCACAGGCACGCACCTTGCTCAGCACACTGAAGGTGCTTTGCAACACTGCTCCTGCAGCATCCCTCCCTATTTTCACATTCTGTTCTGGACAGCAGGCTTTTCACCAATTTCCTTTTGCAGAGGTGATTCAGGGTTTTGTTTTGTTTCAGCATGGACTAATACTAGCTTACATCACTAAATCTGAACTGAATAACAATTTTCCAGTGCTTTCCTCCAAGTAAAAAATCTGTTCCCATGACTAGAGCATCCTCCATCCCAATTCCATATATCTGCCAGAAGCCACAGCTGAATAAACCTGGCCTTGAAGACATGTGTTCATTTGATCACTCCCTGGAGAGTTAGAGATACTTTCTTGTAGTATTACCTTAATTATTTTGTTAAGTGAGTGCTTCTAGTCACAAGACATTCTTGTGGATTTGAAAACATCCTGAAGAGGATTAATATGTCCTACATGGCCTCTCTAGAGACTTAAAAGTGAGCTATGGACCAAATATTCTGTAAGACATATGGTCAGTAAATACTTCCTCTGATTATGTGAGTTATAAAGTGCTGTAGCGGTTTTTGAAAATGCTGTGAACAGTATGATGCCATATAAGCCAAAAGAAGTGTGCCAATAAAAACCTAAAACAGATACATCAACTCAGAGCACCACATGAGTGCATTTTAAAATACATTTTGTTCCTTGCTGGAAGCAAGAAGCCATGCAAATGTGATCAGACCACAGGCTTCGGCTCATGTTTGGAGGCTTTGCCAATCTTCACCTTGGCCCAGAGACCCCTAAAAAAAGACAGCCCTGGCTTACCTTGGCTTCCATACCCAGCATCAACGCCGGAGCCATCCCAGGACTCCATAGCACTGTCCACACTAGGAATTGTGGTGGAGTATATCTCAGACAGCTTGCTAGTTTTCTGGGAGTCCGTCAGTTCATCTTCTGGGTCGCTCACTTCGTTTATACTCCCTGACTTCTTGGGATAGGATTCTGAAACCAGAACATGCTGCTTCAGCAAACACAAAGAGCAAGCCTCAGGGAAAGGCTTATGCTGATGTCGGAGCAAGCTGAAGTGCTACAAGTCTTCTGAAGAACCTCTCCAGCTCTTGAAAAGTAGCTGAGAAAGGCCTGTATTACACAGTTAAAAGGATTTCATGCAATACTCTTAATGTCAAGCTGAATCAAGAAAAAATGCCTTTCTGAGTTTTTAGCACATGGAATGTAAGAAGCAACCATGGGGATTTCCCAAATATGGGAGTGTTGCAACCTAATCTCAGTTCACAAGTGCATCTTCTTGGGCCGTTGGAAGCTCCCTCCAAAGAGCCCTGCCCAGAGAAGTGTTAGCCTCTGCAAGAAATAGCCCATAGCTTCTCTGGTCTCAGAGAGCCTCCGTTTACTCAGAACAGCACCTAGTCAGGGTGCTGGCTGCAAACTTTCCATTACAAGCAGATGTTTCAATGAGATTCCAACAAAAACGCAACCTGGTCCTAAACTACCACAGCTGAAGTTACACCGCCCTTCCAACCTCATATCAATCCAAGGCTAATCACCACCTCTCCAGAGTCTCCCATGCAGTCTCATGACAACGGTGGAATTCCTGGGCCTGGTATTTGAGGCTGAATTTCCCCTGATTAGTGATTGGAAAGGGGAAAGCTGAATGTGGATGATGAAGCTCAGACCTTCCCTTTCGTTATTTTAGTAATAATAGGCCCTTATTATCATTACATCAAATTTCCATTCAGGCAAAAGCTATACAGGGAGTGGTTTCTCAGCACAAGTATTTCCTTGTACTGAGTATTTTAAAGTCCTCGTTGATTAGATAACCTGTTAGCCACCCATGCCCTGGATCTCTGACTCTCAGAGGCTGGGATAAAAAGCCCTCTGAAAGTCTGCATTTGTCAACGAGGACAGATTATTTTACCAAGCAAAGGCCAGTGTCCTGAAAGTCTCTATTTTCTAAGCATTCAGAAGATTGCTCACCATGATTAACTCAAGATTACCTTGAAATTTCAATTACACCTGCTTCATTCTCAGAATGATTAATGAGCCTCCAACTGGCACTTGCATGTCAATTATTTCAGCAAGTCGCTGTGACAATGCTAAGTGTCAGCAGGGGAAAAAAAGAGTATTTCAGACCAAGGATCAAGACACTTGGCTGCAGGGAACAAGACTGGGGTTTCTTGAAGAGGAATCAATTCCTCAGTTCTACCTCTACTCGCTAAATCACCACTCCCTGCCTGGGCTTCCTCCATTTGTAAAACAGGAGCACTGCCACACATCTGCAAACTGCTCTGAGGTCTCCAGAAGTGCTATGTTTAAGAGCAATGCTACTTTTTCAGATGCAGGACAAACATCCCACGGGCCAGGCCAGTTTGGAAGAGCTTTATCACTTGATTTCTTCCAGTTTCTTCAGCACTGTGGGCCACTGGCTATGTTAGGTCCAGCTAAACTTAGGGAATGCAGAAGCACGGCACAAAAAAAAAGATAGAAAATACTGGGTGTGGGGAGGGACAGAAATGCAGCCAGAATGTACCAGATGTTTTCTGAACTTCATGAAAAAGCCTCTGTTCGGCTGTGACTTCGAAGAAGCTGGGGAGAAAAGTTTGCGTGTTTCCTGGTTTTGCTGATCACCCCTCTCTGTCCCCCAAAAATGTGGCCTGCCTGTACCAAGTATGCTCCTGCTCTTTGATACTATGGCAAGAAGAACAGCTTCAAAGCCACGGGGAGCTCAGCAGGGGAATGATAAGGGGATTTCTAGAGTGAAGGCAGATGCTTTGAAAGATGATCTTAGGACCCCAAGCCAGGAAAAGGGGCATAAAACATTTATTGCCTCTTGCTTTCAAAAAGTTGAATTAAGGGGGTGTGAGGGTGCTCATGGATTCTACCAGCGCAGAGTCCCCTTGCTCTTTTTGAGGGGTTATATTTAAAAAGAAAAACCTTCACTCTTTTACTTTTAAAAGCATCTTCTTCATTTCTGTGTGAAACACCTACACAAACAGGGAATGGCACCAATGGCACAAGGTGTCAATCTGAAAAAAAAATTATCATCGCCCATAAACCTGGTGTCTGATCTCTTCCCAGTATCACAGAGAGCCCCTGGGTTGCCTTTTTTTAAATCTATGAGCCAGAAGTCCAAAAAACACCTATCTTTTCCCTCTGTCCTCAGCCATGCCCCTGACCACGCTGCCTCGTCTCACCTTCCAGAACACGTGAAGGACACCCCACAGTGCTACCTACCCCGTCGCCCAGGGTCCCTGCTGGGGTGCCCCGTCGCCCTCCCAGCCCACACCAGGCTCCCCAACTCACTCTCCGTCTGCTTCTTGATCTTCAGGGTGACCGTCTCTCCCGCCATCTGCAGCAGGTGAATGGCTTCACTCAGCGGTTTGCCCTTCAGGCTCACATTATTAATCGCTAATATCCGGTCACCGACGTGGATGGCTCCAGTTCTGGATAGAAAAGGCACCGTTAGAAACTCCAAGATGCAATTCCTTTCTGCGAGACAGGCCATTAAGTTGTCGCTTAAAGCAATTGCATAATAACTCTCAGCACTTTCAGATGTGTCTGTCTTTCCCCTTGGTACGCCGTATACCCATGATTTCCTCTTCATCACCACCACCAGGAATCTGGGTTCCCCCCATCTTCCACCTGTGTGTACACATACACGTATGCACAGGAACATCTGCGCTCCTTGGGTTCCAGGCCCCTCGGGACTGGCACTGCAGACCAGCTCACAGTCAAAACTCTGCAAAGGGAGGGGGCCTACGTGTTAAAAGCACAAGCATTGCCAGTGTGTGATGTCCACTTGTTGTCACGCATGGAGCTGAAGGGCATGCTCACAGTGATGGGAAGAAATGACAAGGCAAACCTCATCATGCAAACCTGTAAAGAAAAAAAAAAAAAACGGCCCAACACACAAAGACTGTGTGTGCAAGCATGAGCTGAACCAGTTGCAGATCAGTTCATGCTGTGTTTAAAGCTCACCCTTACACAGCCACACCACTGTGACTCTCTCCACCAGGACCAGCGCTCTGGAAGAGGTTACTGTGTTCTACTGCACTGCCGTGTTCCAGCGCTGGCTTCTGCTCTCGGCTAAACAAATCCTCAGGCTTAGAAATTCTTATAAATATCTTAAGGGTGGGTGTCAGGAGGATGGGGCCAGACTCTTTTCAGTGGTGCCCAGCGACAGGACAAGGGGCAACGGGCACAAACTGAAGCACAGGAAGTTCCATCTGAACATGAGGAAGAACTTCTTCCCTCTGAGGGTGATGGAGCACTGGAACAGGCTGCCCAGGGAGGTTGTGGAGTCTCCTTCTCTGGAGACATTCAAGACCCACCTGGACACGGTCCTGTGCAGCCTCCTGTAGGCGACCCTGCTTCGGCAGGGGGGGTGGACTAGATGACCCACAGAGGTCCCTTCCAACCCCTAACATTCTGTGATTCTGTGGTTCAGCAACAGCCAGGAACAAACTAACAAGTCGTGGCAATTCTCCCCCTCTCCTCCATCCTCTCATGCCTGCCCACAGGCAGGGGCTCACTTTACCTCTCCCGGTGTTTGCTGCAGCTCCGGGAAGAGCAGGCAGGACAGGCTGTGTCCATTGCCAGAGCTGGCAGCCGAGACAGGAACTCATGCTCGCTGCTGGCTGGACAAAGCTCATTGCGCTCCAGCTCCCTCGCACCTTCGAGCGAGAGCAGCAAACCCCTCCTCCTCCAGCAGTGCCATGAGGTTCAGCTATCGGGAACCTGCGTGATGGAGCCGGCAGGAGATGCAAACCTGGCCCTGCAATATCTTTCTGCCCGTGGCACCGTGCCCCTCTCCGGGTGCATCTCCAAGGGGAGCGCTGGGATCTGATACGCTGCCTCGGGAAAAACAGCTCCTTGTCTTTCCTCAAA